AGTTACTTAGTTCAAAATAACAATTTTTTTTCGCTGTTTGTTTCTAGTACACTTTGTTTTCCTCATGTTGTGTGTAGTATTTTTTTCCTTCGTTGCAATCCAATTGTAAGCAAGTTAGTGCAATTTAGATGTGTTGTTTTAATATCTATCAAAACTTTTTGAAAGCGAAAAAAAATTAAATAGACTACAGTTTTTTGCCAGCATTTTTCTTTTTGATATATATATTTTTTTCATCTTAGTTTGTTTGCACTTAGTTCAGATCAACTTTTCGTCTTGATTTCTAGTGATGTCCTGGATATTTGGTAGCTATTCGACTCAAATTCATGGCACATCAAATTGCTGACAAAAAATTCAAAGTTTCTCAACTTTTTATGCTTTCAAAAATCCCACGTTTGGTTTTTTGCCCATTTATCCCTATTTTGTCTGCATGGTTACCGCTTGGTAATTTTTCATGCTATTTTAATGGTCGCGGTTGTTTTTTGTCGTCGGTTTTCATCAAAATGAGTTTCAGTTTGAGACAAACATGAAATTTCGGGTGTTTTTTGGCGTGTTTCAGTTTTTTATGATTCGGTGGCTTTCTGTATCGCAAAAGGTGCGAAACTCAGCTAAAAACTTCGCCTCTATGTTGAAGCTCAACTTCACTTTTGATTTTGTTGTTGATTTTGTAAAAGAGTGTTAATGATTTCAGAGTATACTAAAGAATTGGCTTAGTGAGGTTTTTGTTGAACTAATAAAACGTTTTGAAATTTTATCTTTTCTGCCAAAATTACACATAGGTTTTGTTTTGTATTACAAAACGTACGAAATACACTTAAAATTGCTTTTACGAATCCGCGCTGCGTTTTTTGAATTTTCATAAAGCAGAAAACTTCATAAAGTTTTTTTTTCTAATAGTCCTTCTTCACCTTATTGAGCTTTAAAGTTTAGATAGAAATTTCTTTTTATAATGGATAATGTACGGGAGATTTTTTGGCCCAAATTTTTGAAAATTTTTTTCTCATTCTACTACTGGCAGTCAAAAAGCAACTACTGAGACTGTGTGTTAAGCAAAAGCGTTGCAAAGGGCTATCTTTCATTCACAATCCTTGATCAGAAGTTAATCATAATCGAATAATTGCGCGTTCGAGGCTACCGCAGTGCAAAACCATTCGTGCTAAAGTGGAAGGGGATTTTGAGAAACTGATTATGCTTTTTTTCTCAAGAAAGGTTTCAGTTTTGATGCTATAATATTGTTTTAGTCTTTATGATGCTAAAACTGTTGGGATTACTTTAAATTTTTTGAGAACTTGCTCATTTCGGCTGTGACTATAAGCTATGTAACTTTTTGCTTTATGTTTTTACTGGAATAGACCTATCTGGGGGAAATGAAATTGATCAAATTCAGTAAAAAAAAATGAAAATAAAAAATTTATAACCTATTTTTTAAAGTCTAAGGGTTTTGCTTTGGTTTGGCCCATTTTAATTTTTCAAAGTCTACTATCAACACAGCTTAGTAATTTGTATGCAAGATTTGTTCTTGCATAAATAACAGATTTTTTAAAGAAATATCAGCAGAGAGTTCCCGCATTTTGTTTATGGCTTAATGGCGTTCGTTTAATAAAAGTCGATGATCGTAGTTCAGACTCTATTATAATAGGTCGTGATGATTTTTTTCCAGTTTTTTGTTTCAGGAAAAGTCTATTCAGGCTCAAATGTACTTTTTCGCGGTTGGCTTTTCATTTATTTCTAAGTTCAAATCATTTCCTTTGTTCAAATGAAGGCAAACCCCACGATCAAACAGCGAAAGTGTAAAGGTCAGGAAAAAACATGATCGACTTCAAAATTGATCAGAAATGGAATTTATTAATCAGATTTCCCAGCATAGAAAAATTTTATTTATTGATCCAGTTTTCTCAAATTGGGTTGAATATTATAAAAAAAATGCCAATCGTAAATTGATCTGAAAATTCAAAAAGCCTTGAAATTTGAAAAGTTTTCAAAAAAAAGTGTTTTTTTTTTGTTTATTTGCATTCCTTGACTCTTTTCCAACTGTCTGTGGCTGTATTTTTTCGTCTCTTCTACCGTTTGATTTTTCTGTGAATATTGTCTTTAAATCATTTGAGTGGTTTCTTCGTAGTTCAGATTGTTCCGATAACCTTAAAGAATGCCAGTAAATGTCAAGTTTGGTATCAATGAAACCATTTTCTGCCATTATTCGGATTCTAAAAGTTTTAACTACAAATTTTTATAGCAGTCTGTGACCTCGTCATTTTCTTTACTACAATTTTAACCATTGTTACCACTCATTATAGCGTTGTCTCTTTCAATGGAGTCAATCCTAGAAAAAAAGAGGAATTTGGACAAGAAAATTTAGTTTTTTTTTTCGTTGTTTTTTAAGAAATTTTCTAAGTTTTTAAATGTTTTTTAATTTAGTCTCTTATTTCGGCGTGGTCGGAACATTCTGTGCTACTTGCTACTTGCTCAGTAATCATTATTTTTGTCAATTTTATTTATGGTGGCTGCTTAAAGTTTCATGTGAGTCTCAAATCATGAACAATTCTGTTCTGCGGTTTTTTTGGAAAGGATATTCTGATTAGAAATGAAATACAAGAAACAAATTTGAATAAAATTTATCCAATTTACTGCAAATTGAGAGAGGACAGACAAAGGGCTTCAAAAATGCCCACTATGAGTATGCCCTTCAAAAGATAAACGCGTTAATGGTAAACGTGTTTATCTTTTCAAGGGCATACTCATAGTGGGCATTTTTGACGCCCTTTGTCTGTCCTCTCTAAATTTGCAGTAAATTCAATATATTTTATTCAAATTTGTTTCTTGAATTGTATTGAAACGTAATTGATTTTGATTACAGATTTAGAGGAATAAATTTTTCTTCTTCTTAAATACGAAAAATTATAACCGATTATAGATGTGCTATTTGCATAGCAAACACTAGTTAGCAAGACAAGATTTGGATTCTTGGTCTACCAAAAGAACCATCTCGTTCTCAGAGCCTTTCTTTATGACGTGCTTAAGTTTTCAACGTAGTCATCAACATTAACCGGTTCGCACCTACATGGTTAGACATTTTGAGGATTTATGATAAATGTGCGGTTGGTTTTAACTCATTCATTAAAATGATTATGTATAAATGGGATATTACAGATATTATTGAATTGGATCTTGAATCTTTAACTCATTCTTTCAAATTTTTCAACTGTTTAAAAATGATTATGGAAAATGGGATATTAGAGAAAGTCTAGAAATGAATCATGATTTGGAAGTAGATCGTATCGAAGTGGAAGTAATTAGTGTAGAAGTGAATCATGATTTTCAGACACTGCGTTTACACCGTCATATAGCGCGATTTAGCGGTTTTTTTTGCTATTTTTTTGAAGTAATCACTTTCTCAAATCTTGTTGGCTTTCGAGGTGTGTTTTGTTTTTATTTTTTATTTTCAACAACTCAAATAAAGAACTAATAAAACTTGAAATTAACTCTCAACCATATGGAGAGGTGCTATAGGGTTGCAATTCTGCCCTTTAAATATTGACTGCTCAAATTGTTTTGATTTTCGATATGGCGTTTGAAAACTTAGATTGGAAAAAAAGCAGCCAAACTTGAATTTTTCAACACTATAGTGGGGCGCTGTCAAAGTACACTCAGAGGTTGCAAATCTGGCGTCCAAGTATGACTGCTCAAATTTTTTCCAAAAAACTTAGATAGAAAAAACTAACCAAACTTGAAATTCTAAACCTCATAGTGGGGCGCTGTCATTACTCATAAGATGCAAATCTGACGTCCAAGTATGACTGCTCAAATCTTTCTGGTTTTCGAGATATCGCATTTTTTTGTATTAAAAAAAATTCAAAAAGCTTAAATTTATAAAAATTAAACGATTTTGAAATTGTCAACCTTATAGTAGGGTGCTGTCAGGGTAGACTCAAGGGTTGCAGTTTCTCCAAATTTGACTGCGCAAACTTTTTAAGTTTCCGAGATGTGGCTTTTCTTAAAATAACAGAATTTTATTTTAAAAATATTGCAAAAATATTTTAAAACATTGTCTTTTTTTCAATTAATTTTTCATATATTTGATGAAAACAGTTTTTTGGAGGTATGGCCGTTTTGTGAAAAATATCCAAAAAATTGACTTCAGAAATAGTTCAGTTAATGAAATAGAAGACCCTGATAGATGGACTCAGTTCACATTTACGGTTGCATCAATTTTTGTTGTTTTTGTATAATTTTTAGGAAGTTATATTTACGTTTTATAATCTATTTGAAGCGCCGTAGGTCTGAGTCAAGTGCTAGTGCTATTATATTTGAAGTAATCACTTCTACTCTTTCATTCAGTCGCGTTTTTGGAATGAATTGAGATAGCATAAAGTGAATCATGATTTCTGGCACTGCGGTGACACCGTCATGCAGCGCGTTTCAGCGGCTCAATGCTATTTTATTTGATGTAATCACCTTTTAATCTTTCATCCAGTCGCGTTTTTTGGCATAAACTGAGACAAAAAGCTTGAAGATGGCTAATTTTAATTATCGTCAAAGTACCAATGACGGCGACCGCTCACTCATGCTTACTTTATTGGCCCAATGGTTACCCGAAATTTGTTCGAACTGGCGTCATTTTTATTTGTATCCGCTAAAAAATGAGCTGAATCAGCAATCAACTGTTAATGGCTGTTGCATCACGCCATCTCCGACTGTTGCTGACGTAACACCTCGCAGTATAAATAGACAAAACTTTCGAACATTTGCCACTTCAAATTAATTGTTCGACTTGAAACTGCTCTGAAATCTCATAAGTCTGCGACAAAAAAAAAACAGAAAACGTACCAAAATGAGCAAAAGCTCTATTTTTCGGAAACTTCTGAAAATATTTCTGATTCAGAGTTTGCTGTGGCTCGTGAAGGGAGAGAAATTTGTCTTTCCATTTGGCAATGGAACTTCGGATACAGATTTGCTTTCGGCTGAAAATGACTGGGAATGGACCTATGAGGGTATGGGACAGGGTATGGGACCTGGATATTGGCATACCGGTGACAATGGCAATTTGTTCTGCTCTTTTGATTTGAAATTAAGTAGGGAGATACGGTTCGGTTCCCAGACTTACGACACGATTTTCGCATGCGCTTCCGGATACATATACTTCGGACCACGGTATCCCGACCCGTTCTTCCCGCACGCAACCTCATCCGACTTGAACGAAAAGGCACGAATGATTCCTTTCATGCACGAAGTACGAATGGACTGGGACGAAAACCGCTACGACAACCATTTGTTTTTCCGAGAGCTGAGTAGTGGAGATCTGCAAATCATGGCGGGAATTGTAACGGAACACGCTGATCTCAAAAAGAGATTTGAGCCGGACTGGGGTTTCGTTGTCACCTGGGACGAAATTGAAGACCAATGCAACAGTTTTGCTGGTGCCAGGAATAGTTTCCAGGCCGCAGTTGCGTGTGATGGAGCCAAAACGGATAAAAACGTCGAGGACGATGATTGCTACGTGATGTATGACTTCTACAGGACTGAAGATGTTGATAGGAGTGAATGCAACTGGGGCATGTTTTGGTTTGCAGATGGAGAGAACTTCGCGCGAAGTGGCTTCAAAGATGGGCAGAGTAAGTATTGTGTTTGATTGGACATTTGCAGCCAAACGTGTAGCAACAACAAATTTATCGAAAGGTTCAATTTAATTTGGCTATTTAGTTTAAATAATTAACTATATGTTTCTTTTCAGATGTTCTGCTGGAACTTCCGCTCTCAGGAACAATTGAAGTGCGAAACCTGTTTGCGATTTCAAACATCGATGTCCCGGGAGTCTGGCTGTTCAAGATTGGTCAGAATGGCAGGGATCCCGCGGTGTCCTCAGTGAACCCTTTCGACATCGCCAACCTCTTGATCCGAGAAGTTTGTCACGGGGAGGTGTCGCCGAAAAGGATTTCGAATCGAGGCAATGGTACCTTTGTGACGATACCTTCTTGCAGCTTGCCGGCGCACGACAAAGTCGAGCTGATTTTCAGAGGAACGTTTGAGAAGGTAATGAATGCCACGTATGTGGGGGAATCAGTCACGTCGAAGTTTCCAACAGGGTGGGAAGTTAATGAACAGATCCAGGTGTTCTTAAGAGTGGACGACAAGACTCTACTGGGTTCCAAAACTCTGTTTCTCTACTCTCCGATACAAACTTTGAGGGCGAATGACAGTTTGAGAGTTTCTGCCAGCCCGAGTGGCTCTTCAATTGTGGTCAACCTGCAAATTGACAGCTCTTTCAGCGAAGACACAGACTTGATGATTGTTCGGACATCTGATGCAGGTTAAATTTTTCATTAATCATTAAAATTTTTCCTCAGAATTAGTTAAATAATAATTGTTTAATTTCTTATTTCTGGGTCATATCTGAGGTTTTCTGTTGAATGGGGTGTCCTTTAGGAGAGAGTGGGTTTGAACTTGAGACTCAGTCAACTGTTTGGCCATCGGGATCTACAACTCTGGGCCATACCATCAACAGCGCCGGAATCTTCACTTTCTTCACACTGGTTTCCCAAAATGGAACTAGTTAGTTAACTCATTGCTATTTTGTCAATTAATTTGTGCACATTTTTTTGTATGATAAATTTGTTCCTTATGTTCTTTTTTGTTTCGGAAAAAACTACTGTAGAATAGACTCATCTGTTACAGCTGTGTATAATTCACTCATCGTAGCTGGGTCATCATCTCAAAGCTGTTCTGAATGGGACCAGGAACAATCAGCCCGAGATGTGTCACGATGTCTGGTGGATGTCGGACGATGGTACGGATGTCCCCAGCGAACTTGGTCTTGGTGGCGTCTGGGAAACTGGACTGACGCCGACTTCGCCCACGAGGAAGTGCGACTGGGTATCTCCGGTTGGCAATACGACATCTGCTGTAACGATCGTAACCCGTCAGTCCGCGACTACCTGGATGCCATTGGGTACTGCAGCAACCTCACTTGCGAGTTCAACCCGGGCGCGAACCTTTGCATCAGATCACCAAAAGTGTCATGCTATGACGGCGTGTCGAGAGACCTTCATTCGGTCTCAAACCAATGCTGTTACAACTCTACCGGAGACTTGATTCTTCCGGGAGAAAGTGGAGCCGGAAGTCTGGACTACCAGGTCAACTCAATTCCAAACATGGCCAGTCATTTGTGGTCTGAACTTGACCCATATGAGAAATGCTGTATAGATACTAACAACTGTGATTTGTACTATAAACACAGACCAACTGTCATCGGTTCTTACTGGCCTCGGAACATTCTGATCGGTCGGGGAGATCCGGACATCCAAACTGTGGATGGTCTAAGCTACCCCTTCATGGGTCTAGGTGTTTTCACTATGTTGAAGAGTGACCTCAGAGTTCCGACTACTTTTCAAGTCAGTACTCGGCGGGTCGGAAACGGAACAGTTTTTTCGGGCTTCGTTATTACCCACAATGATAATAAACTCGAGTGCGCAATTTATGAAAATGCGACGTTCGAATCGGCCGTTAATGGCGAGAAACTGGATTTCGGGGATGTTGTGAAGGAATACACGTTGAGTAACATTTCAGTGAAGGAAAGCGATGACTTGAAAACGTTCACCTTTGAGTTTGTTCAAACCGGTTTGGTAGTCAGGGTGGTGATAAGTCAAGATTTCCTGAATCTGATGATCTCTGTTCCTCCAACTTTCAAGCACAAAATCAATGGGCTCATGGGATACTATGACGGTAACACGACTAATGACTTCACTGCTGCAAGTTAGTCGTCGGAAATAAGTTTTTTCCTAATATCTGGATGGAGTTTCAAGTTGTTTTGATTTGAAAAATATATATATCTCGATAGAGCTTAAGTTAATTATAGTTTTTTCCAATGAATTGATTGGTTATTGTAAAGGTCCTCAAAACAACTTAAATAATGATGATTTTTTAAAAGATCTTAAATCCATTATAGTAATTTTGCCAGCGCCAAATTAGAAGTGTTTTGTTTTGCTCAGATGGAACAGTGTATGCGAACGACACCGACCACGCCACTCTGCACTATGGGTTTGGGGAGTCTTACAGAGTGGCGAAGGACGACTGGCTGTTCGCGTCACCGGAAATAATCGGAATGGTAGAGTCGGACATCGCAAACGGAGAGCCATTCACCCCAGTGTACGAGGCCACGTTCGAAAGCGAAGAGCAACGGCAGGCTGTCATGGAGGTCCGCAGTTGTTAAGATTGATTTAAAAACTGGTTTTGTATTTTAATTCATTTGAACTTCAAAAGAGTTTCGAGTGCATATCAATTTTATGGATTTTGTATCATGATATGTAGCTTCCCTATTTATGCAATTCAATTCGACCGGTGTGTTTGTGTGCAAAAGCGTCTTTTAAGAGTACAAACTACTGTAAATCGTTTTAGTTTGAAGAATCTGAGCTCGATTGTAATTTTTTTCTTGAAACATTTAATTTTTCAGGCGTGCAAGAACGACAATGCGTGTATTCTGGACGTGGCGCTGACAGGCAACATGAGTTTCGCTGTCGTGTTCGCCGAACTGGAGTCGGAAATTGAGGAGGCGTCGCAAGCGAGCGAACTGTTCCGAGAGAGCGAACCCGAATGGGCGAATTGGGAGGAGGAGGCGCTGGAGGAGTGGGGGCACTCGGGTGGGGAGAAAATAGTGGGCAAATTGTCAATGGTCATCATGGCATTATTTGCAACCCTTTGCTTGGCCATTCATTGAATGCACGGCACTACATGACTGCATTAGAAGCGAAATTAATAAAAATCATCGATTGAGCTGGATGGAATTGAACTCATAATAAGTGATTGAGACAATTTGACTGTAATATCGTGAATCTTTGCCACAGTTGAATACTTAAGAAACAAAGGTGTCAATATCAGTTGTTTTTCGATGAATCTATCAAACATTATTACTCAAAGTGTTTTTGCAGTATATACTTTCAAAAGGTAAATATTCATAATTTGTATATAGTAAAAATAAAAAGCTTAGTTGCAACATTGATCTTATCAGCTTGAGTTAAACAGCTAAGTCAGATACAAATCATAGACAAGGTCTTTGTTCCGAACTTTGTAGAAAGAGTGAAATATTTGTGCTCGTTGTGGTTTTTTCTTCAGACATCAGTCGACAAATTTTTTAACTAGCTAATTTTGAACGGAATTGTTCAAATTTTTTTATCTGAAAGGCAATGACTCCCTGAATTCTATTTTAAAAAGGCATTTCCCATGTGATCATAAAGCTGCGGGAGTTGGGAAGTTAAAGCTCTATATAAATCACGCCAATAATGTCAGCGGTGATGTAATCCGGCTCATAAATAATTCCACATTTAGCTGAAACAAGCTATTTGGACTTGTTATTTCGCTCCTAGACGATAATTACATTGCTTGTTGATTTCAATTAGTTTGTTGGCGTGCATTGAAAAACATTCTGAAAACAAGTTCTTTTGTTTTTAGCACTCTCAAAGAGTAGGAAAGTAACTATGGCGTAGGGTAAGAATTTCAAGCCAATTCTGACTTCCTCAAGAAAATTTTTTGTCGGGTCAAGTGTGCTATCATATTAAAGCCCTTTTTGACGTGAATTCAAATCTAAGTAAATCGAAAAATTCCACTTGGTGTCAAGAAAAACTTTGTCAAGATATGAAAGTCTGATTATTGTCGGTTTTCAGACTGATACTGTCGAAAAATAATACGAGGCTGGTCTGAACCCAACAAGAATTTTAACATAATTTTTTAACTAAAATTTTGATGTCAGTTTAGCAAAATTGTTTCCCTTTTTGCAGTTTATTAAATCAAATGCATTCGCTCTTTAAAAAAGTAATAAAAAAATTTATTTTGACGTGAATTCGAATCTAAGTAAACGAAAAATTCCACTTGGTGTCAAGAAAAACTTTGTCAAGATATGAAAGTCTGATTATTGTCGATTTTCAGATTGATTGTCGAAAAATAATACGAGGCTGGTCTGAGCTCAACAAGAATTTTGACATATTTTTTTAACTAAAATTTTGATGTCAGTTTAGCAAAATTGTTTCACTTTTTTGCAGTTTATTAAATCAAATGCATTCGCTCTTTAAAAAAATATTTAAAAAATTATTTTAATTTTGAATTCATTTTTGATCCAGAATTTAATAATTGAATTGTTTTCATCTTGTTTTTTTTTCTCAAGTCAGAGTCGTCGAAATCTTGCGATAATCGACCATCAATCGGCTATCCATGCCTTTTTTGAAAGTTTCTGTAATTTTGAAGTGTTTAAAATTTTATAAAAAATATTCCTAAGTTTTTAGAGCTGTAAAGGGGTCGCCTTCATACAAGAAGTTTTGTTTGGGTTATATGTGAAACGAGTTGAATACAAGTATGCAAAGGTACAAGAGTTGTAAAGATAGTTGTTAGCGTTCGTTTTCGTTATTCTCCGCGAAGACAGCTGTAAAAAAGGCATTAAATAGCAAGAGTCGGAAATTGAGGAGGCGTCGCAAGCGAGCGAACTGTTCGGAGACCGAACCCGAATGGGCGAATTGGGAGGAGGAGGCGCTGGAGGAGTGGGGGCACTCCGGTGGGGAGAAAATAGTGGGCAAATTGTCAATGGTCATCATGGCATTATTTGCAACCCTTTGCTTGGCCATTCATTGAATGCACGGCACTGCATGACTGCATTAGAAGCGAAATTAATAAAAATCATCGATTGAGCTGGATGGAATTGAACTCATAATAAGTGATTGAGACAATTTGACTGTAATATCGTGAATCTTTGCCACAGTTGATTACTTAAGAAACAAAGGTGTCAATATCAGTTGTTTTTCAATGAATCTATCGAACATTATTACTCAGTGTTTTTGCTGTATATACTTTCAAAATGTAAATATTCATAATTTGTATATAGTAAAAATAAAAAGCTTAGTTGCAACATTGATCTTATCAGCTTGAGTTAAACAGCTAAGTCAGATACAAATCCTAGACAAGGTCTTTGTTCCGAACTTTGTAGAAAGAGTTGAATATTTGTGCTCGTTGTGGTTTTTTCTTTAGACATAAGTCGACAAATTTTTTAACTAGCTAATTTTGAACGGAATTGTTTAATCCAGAATTTAATATCCATTTTTTGATCCAGAATTTAATAATTGAATTGTTTTCATCTTGTTTTTTTTCTCAAGTCAGAGTCGTCGAAATCTTGCGATATTTGACTAGCAATCGGCTATCCTTGCATTTTTTGATATTTCTGTAATTTTGAAGTGTTTAAAATTTTATAAAAAATATTTCTAAGTTTTTAGAGCTGTAAAGGGGTCGCCTTCATACAAGAAGTTTTGTTTGGGTTATATGTGAAACGATTTGAATACAAGTATGCAAAGAGACAAGAGTTGTAAAGATAGTTGTTAGCGTTCGTTTTCGTTATTCTCCGCGACGACAGCTGTAAAAAAGCCATTAAATAGCAAAAAAAAATGGATTTGACAAAAAAGTTGAAACATTTGAAATAATGGTTGTGGTTGGAACATTTTAAAGCTAAATCGACACTTTTTGCTCTGATCAATGAAAAAAAGGAAGGATTTTTTTTTCGGGTGTTGTTTAATGTCTTTGTGTAGAGTCACGAACGTACTGAATACTGTAGGTGATTGTGTGTGCTTTTTATACGTGAAAAGTTCCTAAAGTTAGTCAGGCTAAATTTAGATTTTTCGCGATTTGTCTTTTGATTTTTTCTAAGTTCAGTTTTTTTCCTTTTTAAATGGAAAGCCAACTCTACTATCAAACAGCTAAAGCGCAAATTTCACGAAAAACCTGATCGACTTCTAGTTTTGATAGTGGAATTTATCTTTCAGATTTCTCAGCGGAAAAAATTAACTATTGATCCAGTTTTGTCAAATTAAGCTAATTGTATCAAAAAGAGTTAAACAAAAATTGTTCGATAAGCTCAACGATATATCTATGTTTTTTGAATTTCGAGTTTTGGATGTTTTCAAAAAGTTATGTCATTATTTTATGTTTCATTGCGTTTATGACTCTTTTCCAGCTGTCTGCTGGCATTGTTTTGCTGTCCAGGCCAAATTGGATGCCACATGTATCATGGGAGTTGAACATAAACATAGGTGGTAAAAATCAGTGTGCAAAAAAATAAGAACAAAAAACTTAAGAAAATTTTTTCATTCAAGGTTTTTTTTTCGTTTTCAAGTTTCATTGAATTTTTTTGTTGGTCATTCGTTTTTAAAAAATATGTAATTGTCGGTTGTCAGGAAAAAAAAATTTCTTACGTTTTTATAAATATGATTGGAACATTCTTTTATTATCTTTGTTCTTTTTGCATTCAGTGCGTGAATATCAACGGGTACTATTGCACACGCTTAAGTGACGAGAAATCAATGATTAAGTGACGAGCACTCAATTGAATTATTCTTATTAAAGCAAGTTTCAGTTTTGCACTAGACAAATAATATAAATCAAAGCTTAATTTTCATACATTTGCTTATGCGCTGCGATCAGTGTTTTGCTTAAGCCCTTTCAAGTTAAGAAATTTCATTTGCTTGTTGACAGCTTGAAGTTTTTAGCTAAACTTTTTTATTTCTCAGAAAAATTTCAGTTTAAACGGTTTGTAATTTTTCCAATCTTCTCAATTAAAACAAAAAATTTGCCTTAGAATTTTGTACTGCGAATTCTAATTGCTGCTGCTTTTTGTTTTTCGAAAAGTCAACTAACTTCATCAACTTAACACTCTCCCCCTTTCTTGAAAGAAGGATCGTTAGAGAGATCTTTTTTGTTTTCTATTTCTGAGAAAATTGTGTTAGGTGGTACATATCTATTTTCAAATTTTTAAGCAACAAAATATCCTGAGATCTCAATTTTGGTTTGAAAATATCGCTAAAAATCATGATCTGGGGTCTATTAATCAGATAGAGATTAAACTTAGATGAATTCGACTGCAATGAAAAAGTTACTATTGACAGATATCCCTAAACAGGCCGAGTTGAAGTTCTTCTGAGAACAGAATTAAAATTGCTTAGCGCTGTTTAAAACACTCGATTCTGACTTGAGGCGTCACTCGACAGGCTAAACGCCTCTGACGTTCTCCCTAGTGATATTTGTGCATATAGTTGGAAAAAATACTGCTCCTTCAAGGGCAAAGCCCTGAATGTTCCCAATACCCTTTAATTGGTCTCGAATAACTTTCGGTAAAGTGAATATTGGCAATAGTTTGAGTTTTGGACTGAAAATATCAAATTTAAGTGTTGCATTTTGATTCGTGTACGGAAGTAATAAACTAATTAGCCACCTCAATTCAATTTCGAACGATTTTGTAGTACGGGATAACAAATAAGCAGGTAGGCCGTACTCATGTCAGGTTGGTATATTGGCGTGCACACCCGGAAGGCCGCATGTAGATTAAGAGAGGAATCCCCCGAGAGAACACAGTTTTGTTAAATTGGTCTGAATAAAAAACAACTCGAGCATATATATTACTATTTTTCTTCAAAAGTCGGAACGACTACTTTAATATTTTTCCGACGTTCGAAGAAAGTGACAGATTATTTTTGCTCGGGGTACAGACAAATTTTGACTTTTTAACTAGCCATTTTTGGCGGAGTTTTTTTTTCTATATCAATTGAAAAGTATTGCCTTGACCTCAAACTTAGAAATATATTTCACTTGTGATCTTTTTTTAAAAAAAATAATGAAGGTCTAAAGGTTGCCATTTTGGCCAACTTGGGACAATTAACGCGCGATATATTTCGCGCTATTAACGCTTAAGCGGAGATTTAGTCCCTCTTAGAAAGTGTTCCTAATTCGTTGAAGGAAGCTTATTTGCCATAATTGGTTTGTTGCTAGGAGCGAAATATACCCTTTTGAACTGTATATGACGTGGGAGTATTTCATTTTTTTTAAACCCATCAATTTTTATAAAGCGTACACTGCTTCATAGACCTCAAAATGCAGTCGGAACATTCAGCGCTTAGCGCTGATACGACCAGTCTTGTATTCAATCTAATACCTAGCTAAAATCTTTCCCTGTAAATCCTTTTGGTGGGAAGGATATTAGCCTGGTCCTAGTTTTTTCTAAGATACGGAACCAAGCTGTATCCGCATTTATGAACTTTTTAGCAAAAAAACTTTAAGATATGCATTGCTAGTTTTCATTGCGTTTACTGTTTTCTGAAACTTTTTTGTTTTGACTCTTGAGCCTTCATTTTTTTTGATCACACCGACCCATGATCGAGTGATCACATCAAACTTCGATTAGTAAACACAATCATCAATCATTCTTCCTACCGCCAACAAGTGACATACTTCATCTAAAGTAATCTCAATTTGCGTGTCGTTTTGAAATCTTGCGCAAAAGGTGGCCAAAATGCTGTAATATCTCGATACTTTCTTGGTCGTAGGCAAATATCAAGTGATGTAGTTCGAATTGATCTGATAACGACCAACTATTTCACAAAGAAACAAGCGTTATCAAATCGTAATCTGTCGTGTTATGGACCTTATGTATCTAAGATAATTCAGTGAGCTTGATTATATTTGGTATCAAATTATAATCAGTGAAATTAGCTCAAAGTTAAAAGAGAAATTTCCAGTTAACAATTAGTATTGCAATCTGACCAAAAATGCGAGATGTATTCGGTTTTGAAAATCAAAGCAAGTTATATAACACTTTCAGACCGGAATATCCGAAACCACTGGTGGATTACGTAATTTTGAGTGTTACGTCAACCCACCCTCCTGGGCTGTGCGTGGATGCCTGCAAAGGTAGCTGCCATATTTGGGCGTTTTTTGAACAAATTCTCAATTTTATTTTACTTATAATAAGAATTTGATCAAAATCTCTTTCGACGGACCGGCGCGTTTTAAGCTGAAAAATCAGCACAACTCTAATTTTCAAAGCCATCTTTTTCTATCAATATCAAAATATTACCTCAAAATTACCTTGATAAGTGAAACATCGATTTTAAAAACAACCAGTTCCGAATTATATTTCGTTTATAAAGAAATTAAATACACTAAATCTTTTTAAGCTAGTTTCAAAAAAATACCTCAAGTTCAATAAATAACTTGAATGTTTAAATAATGCCCATCAATTAAGTTAATTTCAGGTGCTCTGGACTCGTGTGTGGTGGATGTGGCCTGTGGCACTGGGTTGTTCACGCGGCAGATTGCCCCCTACTTCGACAAGGTGGTCGGATTAGACCAGAGTGCGGCGCAGCTGCAGTTGGCCATCGAGTGTCCCGATTTGTACGAGAACATTTCATATCTCAAGTGAGTTCAGCTTATTGTAGAGATTAAAATATATCCTCAATTAGTAATAAATTTTGAATGTTTTGTTCACATTAATAAATATATATCCCCAATTAATTATCATTATCTTTTTTGTACATGTTTTCTCTCACTTACAGCCCAAGCATTCATTGATATAGTCGTTTTTGTTGTTTCACAAGTGTATTAAGAACCAAACCTTCGACGCATAGGTTGTTGCTGTTTTTTCTTTTCAAAAGTACTCGATAAACAACGTTCCTTAAAACGTTCCTGGTGGTTTCTTTCGTTGTTTATGAAGCAACGGTTTAGTTTTAAAGAACGTTGATTATCGAGTATTTTTGAACAGAAAAAACAGCAACAACTTATGCGTCGAAGGTTTTGTTCACAATCCACTTTGTGAAACAACAAAGAGTCATGAAAGTTTTTTTGTGAAAACTATAAAAGGACTATATTAATGAATGCTTGAGCTGTAACTGAGACTAACTTGTACAAAAAATATATTGATAACTAATTAATTGATGAAGTTGCAAAAGCCTTTTTTTACATTTTGCAATTGATGAATGAATGTAGAAGAAATGGGGTCTTGTTAATTCTGTGAGGATGCCTTTGTGTCACCTATTTTGTAAAACGGTTGCCTTTATAATGCATCATCAAATAATAGACCAATTTCCGTTACGAACGTTTTTTACATTTGCGAAGCAAGTGTATCAGTACGAACCTTATTTTTTTTTCAACCTAAGTCGCAAATAAAAATGCTACTTTTGGTGGCACTTTGAACGATAGGCTGCTGTAGCAGTGTAATGTCATATTTGCTTTAACATTTGATTTGTAGAAAGTTAACTCAGTTGATGCATTTTTTTCATCAAATGAACCGAAAAATCATATTTGTTTCAAACAGCAGTACAATGATAAAACGCTCAATTTCAGAAATTTTCCAACTTAATGTACCTCGCAATTTTTTTGAAATGCATACTTTATACAAAATTTAGCTTCATGCCTTCCAATTTATTACATGCAAAATAGTGTCTTTTTGGATTTGGTGTCCCTTTTGCTGCACCGAATTAGCCACGGATGCTTAAATTCCCCAAAAACAAGCCACTAATAACGAAGTTACATGTTCTAAAACTGCCAATTCGAAGTGGTTGGTGCGTTAAACAAAATTGCAGTGTCGCAGATTCGGATCCTATACGTAGCCGAGTTTTTTCGAGGATTATTTCTATTTTTTTCTTGTTTCACTTGATAGAGCTGTCTTTTGGTCGTGTTCTCGCAAGTGTATGCGAAACGGAGCTTCGTCTCTGCGTCTAAGTTCTATGAGCGATAACTACATGAGAATATAATGAAGTTTTTGCGAAAAAAGTGCCTGTTGTTATAAAATTGTTATCACAGTTTGGATTTCCGCTAGGAACAAAAATCAGCTTTCAGATTATACAGATTTTAATCATCGCATTTCCTCAGAGAAGAGTTAAAGACTCACTAATTTTTGTATTTGACTTCAAAGATAAACTATAAGTAACATAGGAGTTGTTTGTCTCTGGACGATGATACAATAATGTTTGCACCGGAAAGAGCATCCAAGCTTAAAATGTCTACCCGGTTTGAGCTCACATTGAAAATTAGCGATAAAATAAACAGTGATCGCTATCGACGAACTATCGGTGTTCATTGCCACAATAGCAAGTTTTATCGATAAATTATTGCTAAACTGGCTAATTTTCAGCGATGAAACAGCGATAAAAAATCTATCAAAATGAGCAAAAATAGTGACCTACCGGGGTCGAGACCGCATCCATCAGCTCTGTAGACACATATGCTACCTCTGCGCTATCAAGCCTTACATACACTTCTTAAGTTAAAGGGCGTATCAACGAAGACTCTCATTTGAAAGCTACAAGAATGAGTTACAAATTTCTAAGTTTTAGCGATGATTTTCTACGGAATCATTACCGAAATAGCGCTGAAATATCGCAGGTTTAGCTATGCAAAAAACTCAAGATTATACATGAATCAGCGCTGGAAAATAGCGATCACTAGGATACTACAGAAAAAGCGATAATTAAGGGTGGGTCTTCAACCCGGGTATCATTCGAACTTTCGTCAAAGTTTAAATTTAACTGATAAAAAATAACTCTGTTCCTTGTAAACAAAACCGAATTAATTGTTTGTATCCTTGCAATTTCGCACGTGAGTTTGTAACAAATTTTTTGTTGTGAAATTTTATCAAAATTGTGTATAGGTATATTTATAATGTGTATGTGTTTAAATATAATATTCCGGTGGAATGATTGACTTACAGCTTCATTTGTAAAATGTTTTGCTTATCTGTTGAGTAGACCTATGATTAATTGAAAATATGAGCTAAAAAATCTCGAGGTATGTTTCAGTTACGACGCGTATGATCTAACCGGTGCTCTAGACAAACTGGAAATCAAGAGCAGTGACGTCACACTAGTAACAATTGCACAAGGCTTCCATTGGCTCGATTTCGACAAATTCGTCAGCATGCTAACTGAGAATCTTCCTTCCAATACAATCTTCGCTCCTATTGGCTATAGTCGGCCTCACGTTATGAATAAAGAGTTCCTATTGGACGAAAGTTTAAAAGAATGTCTATGCAATCCAGATATCGTGCTAAGTGAATATGATGAAAAGTTTACCACTTACGAAAAGATGATTAACAGCTTGTTTGAATTTTTGCTTCCATATTTCGACTTTAATCGAAGGGTTCTGGAAAAATTTTACCAAGATCTCCCTTTCGAAGATTACTTTGAAAGTCGAGAGTTCAAAATGTTCCCAGAAATCTTAGAAACGGACTGGTATCGATTCCAACAATTTATTTTCTCCATCAGCGCCTACAGAATTTGTCTCGAGAAAAACGAAGACGAAATAGCTGCTGGAACGTTTGACGATCCGTTGGTAAAACTGCTGAGGTTCGTTTTGGAAACGGAAGGAAAACTGGATCTGACAAACAGTTCTGATTTCACCTCTGCAGAAGACGCAGAAGTCCTCAAAACTATCAAATTTGACATTCTCTGGAACTTCTTTGTACACATTTTGAGCAATTAATTTGTCTGATATTTGAACCATGAATACTAATAGGGAAACATTTGGCCTCAATTAAAAAATAAATATTTTGCAAACGATAGTAATTATTTGAATTCACTGTTATTCATCTTTTTCAGAATTGTCAATTACCGCGGTAATTTTTCACGTAAATACTCGCGGTTTTTTTGTGTTTTTACTAATAAAAATAGAGATGGTGCAATTGAATTTAGAACAGTGTTTGAGCCGGTTTTTTTTGCCGCTTACGTGTTATTGAACGAAATATATCGTGCGCTATTTGTCCCAAATTGGCTGAAATTGCTATTTTCAAACTCCATAGCTTGATCAAAGGTGAAACTTTTTTTTAAAAATTGTGAGCTCAGGACATCAGTACATTTCAGTTTGCTTAGAAAAAATCTACCAAAAATGGCTAGATGAACATTCGCAGTTTTTTACTGAAAAAAAAACTATCCCTAGCGCAAATGTTCTTTGAAAGTCAGCAGTATTTGATTTAATCTTGAATAGCAAATTAAGAACGAAAATTTCATAAAGAACGAAGAATAAAAGTCTTTCTTTCGGTTAATTTTTAACAGTCACTCTAAAACAAAGTGTAACACAAGCATTTTTAGTGCAAGTTCAGTTCTATAACTTCGCGATTAATTCATGAATTTATTGCCACGAATTGTTTTCACTAGTGGAGGGCAATTGATGAATTTTCTAAACCGATTAATTGATTATTATTCAAATTAACCAATATTTTTCATTATAAGCAGATTGCCAATATAACCCATATATTGACAACAGAAAACGGCAAATCTGGTTGCTATTGTTGCATATATCGTTTTCCATTTTCAAATCCGTGTAAAGATGTTTTAGCGCTGCAAAACGCCCAGCCAGTTCGAAAATATACACCCACCTAGTACAACATAACGCCCACCCCTTTGGTAGTTTTTTATTAAGTTTTTCAAAGGGCGACGTAATTGTGTTCTTGATACTAAGTAATTTATTGAATATTTTGAGGCCTCAAATTAAACACGTTTTGTGATTCGATGCAGGTACCTTATCTCAGGTACCTGTCAGCCTGCCTCATTCACTGTATATACAGTCAGTTGAAAACTACCTTGCTCTTTTTAAAATCGCTTTCACTGAAATTCACACTGCACTCTGATGTGGACTCTTTACTTTAACTTCAAATTTCCAGATATCAAAACTGGTTGCTCTCAACGAGTCTGATGCTTCTGGCTTCAAAACACTCATGACCGTCTTCACCAGTGGACCATCTAAAGAAAAAGTCACCACCCTCAACCAGTGCATCCACTCTTGACCCTGACAACCCGGGGTCATCAACACAAGAGACGCCCAAACCTGGACATACAAGGCTCGTAGAAATATTAGCTCCTTTAGCCGCTATAAAAGATAAAATATTTCGTCATTTAGTTCTATAACTCCGCTTTCTGATCGACATCCACATTCACTATCCAACATTGATGTTAGCATCTACAACTTCAGCTCACTAAACGCTGCTTGTGTGGCTATTCAAAGCTGTGACAAACAAGGGCACAGAAGAAAAGCTAAATCTTCGATCCCAGCACCTAAAATGAAACCAGTTCCTGATAAATTTTGGTAACGTGCAATCAAAGTCAGTGCTAAACCAGCTGTCAGTCTCAAAATTATCAATCATCCCTTGAACATTGTTTTGGAATATTATTCTGGAAAGAATTGTTTTCTGAGTCAAGACCTCCAACTAATTCACCATCTAAGCCGATGAGTCAACGGACATCTCAAGAATGGAGCAGATCTCAACAAATATCTGATACTGGGATGCCACTGCGATCTAAGAAGAGTTTTTTGGTTCGGCGGACACAGTAGAAAAAATGAAAAATGCTTAAGCTGAAATTGTCCTGGTAAACATATCAGAAATTGAACTTGCAAAAGCCCATCTGCTTGGCCAGAACTACGACTGAGCTGCAAAATTGTCTGCGAATCGAGGTGCAATCCCGGTCATCATCAAGGAACATTACTCTGCTGCCAATTACGTGCACTGTTCTGAATACTGCCTCAACCTGACTCCAGTCACGTCAGCGAAATTTCTACCGATAGGCTGTGCCTGTGCCCAGATTTCCCATATCATCTCATTTTGATGCGGTCTGATGCTTTCTGTGAGAACATAGTGAATTTGCAGCCCAAATTTAGCAAGAGTGCAAACCCAAAGATGTTTGACACTCTATGGGTTGAACGATACAATGCTATTTTGTTTTCTAATCAGCTCAAGCCTTCAATTGAAGACACAAAAGAATACATCAATTATTTGCCTCTGGAAAGTTATGCATTCGGCTGCTGTCGTTATCTGGCTAGCATGATGCTGTCAGAGTTCCTGATTGCCCTGATACTTACTTGGAAAGATTAAAGCTACCAGTTTTGCTCTTGATGAACCTTCGCTAGAAATGCCTCAGTCAAAAGATCTCATTTTGAACTTTTGTCTACTCTTTCAACAATGGTACGATGGTACATTTTGTGGCCACTACAAAATAGTCCATTTTGGATGCTGCAAAACTGCTGTTCAAATTCAGGACCGAAGAGGAAGAATTCCTATAGTTTCCTCAAGGAACGCTTCATTGGAGGAGCTTCTTTAGCTGTTCAAGTGTGCAAGCAGCTGCCCCTTTTAATAATTTGGAAGAATTCCGAAGGAGGAAGACTTTGATGATCTGGTCCAATTATACCACGAACACTTCCTTCCAGCTGGTGAGTTCCCCGGCAATTTTGAAGTTAAGAAAAACACGATGCGCTTGCCCCTGTGCAACGATATGCTAGAGAATTTCTTAGCTGCCCCCAAATTGTGTCACAAAGCCACAGTGACAAAAGATTTTGCTTCGCTTCAGATTGGTGGAACCGTTCCCGTGAAAGTAAGCTATGCTGAGTGCTGTTTTGTGCCATTTGACCAGAATGAGTTGCAATTTCAAGTGTTAATTCGACCAGAATTTGTGGAAATTAAAAGTGTTATCTAAAAAGAGAGCTATAAAATCAAGACTGGAAACGTACGAAGAAATGATTTTTAATTTTTCAATTAGAAATAAAGACACGTAAAAACTCATGTTTTTCGCGACATTTTAAAACCGCAAAAACCAGAAGCGCGATTTTTGCTCATCGGAAAAAGACGACAGTAACAATCTAAATGAGGAAAGTCACATTTTTGTCGTTGAATAACAGCGGAAGAAAAGATGCCACCGAGGTGTAACGCTTGGGCTGTCAAAATCCTTACCGCGCGTGTTTAACCAATCGGGAAGGTTGAGAACGAGAGCAGCAACCCTTTTTTGTGATCAAGAAGTCGCTTCTTCAACAAAGATCAAGAAAACGGAAGGTTCTAGGTTAGAGTGGAAAATGTTAGAGTGGAAAACTGTGTTGTAACATCTCTTACCTCTCTGGATATGCCCTGAATATTGTTTAAATAACAAAAATATTTATTTTCAGGTTATGAGGAGCTAGGACCGAGGAAAAGATTGATCCATTTCCGGTGGATCTGGTAGATTTTTCTTCAACTGAACAAAACCAATAAAAAAAACGATAATAATGAAATAGCCCTGTTTTTTTTTTTGGAGTGACTTCGAGGTCTGAGTATGCTTAGATCCAGCCATGAGCTCACTGATTTTGCGTGTAAGTAGTTAAATTGCATACCTAGGCCGATAACCTTTTAACGGTAACACTTTCGTTGACCCGATCTTACGAAAGACCATTTCGAATTGTCTCTGGTAAATGCTGTTGAAAGCACGTAAAGCTTTATCTTGACCTTAGCCAATCGTTATAGGATTTGACTTTAGTTCTCGTCGTTATGTATTTTTCGGGCGAATATAACTTTTTTCGAGCATGAAAGTTTGAAATTTCACATCAGCTCCAAATGAGGGTGGATCTACTTTCAATTTTGGAAAAACCTAGATCCGCCCGCGAGTAATCTAATTTGTTTTGTTTTGTTTTCGGTTACTGGTATAATTCAGTACAAAAAATGCTTAACTATATTGTCAGCATATTGGAGGTAGTTTCCTTTAATTTTCGAGAGCCCTTAATTCAACTCCACAAGTAGTTACACAGTCACGCGCAGTTTTCTTTCTCTTTTTTATTTTGGTCACTGCTTTATTAGGCTCCATAATTGAGGGTTGCTGTTGAAAAATAGTCCTACCCGTACTCAGTGAAAAGAGAAAAACACCGATTATATTATTGTAATTGTACTTTTAGCAAAATTATAATTAATTATAAGCGCCATTTTTAGATGTTTAAACGATTTATAATCCATTATAATGATAACGTTTTTGGTGAAGTTTTAATAAATTTTAATCAAATATGTCAAGCTTTTAATAAAACGACCCCATGAGTTGCAAAATTTTATTGTCTTTATAAAAGAGGTTCATCTTTTATGATTTTGTTTTTTTCCGGCAATTTGATTTGTCTCCAGTCTTTCAATTTTGAATCACTTTTGTAATTAACGGAAACAACAGTAATAATTTATAGTTTGCCGATGATAAAAAATTTAAGTGTCAGAAATGGAAAAATACGACATGATACGCGGAGAAGTTGAAAGCGGATTGAAACCAACTATTTCGTCAAGATAAAAGTATGAAAACTGTGGCCAAAAAAAATTCGAATTGCTGGTACCGTGCAAATTATTTTTAAGATTTTTCGAAAGTTTTCAGCTTAAATTAACTGCTATTTAGTATCATATGATTGCATTCTACGTCTCTTTGAAAACAATGAAGGCTTTTCATGAAACATTAAAAGAAATTTTTCAACGTTTATTGTTCTGATCATTGAAAATTGGGAGGATAATTGTGTTCGGGTGTGTCAAGTACTACAAATAAGCAGTTGAGTGATATATAATATTAGAACTTTTTCAGTCGTGATTTGAACGACAATTAAAAGTTTCCAAACAACATCTCACTGTCGAGAAAAAACGGTTTTTAAGTTTTGATTTTTCGCCTATTATCGAGCGAGCAAAGCGATCGAGAAACGTTCGTTTTATATTAGAATTATCAGTTTAGGCTGAGAAATACTTGACTTTACTACTACGAAAGCTAGTTCTGGAAGCTTTATTTAGTAATTCTTTGGCAGAAAAAAAAATCGAAAATTCATCGAAAATGTTTTTTTTAAAACTAATTGCAATCGTTTATGCCAAAGTCACTAGGTGTCACATGATGGTTCTATTATCTGACGAACATTTACAAAAACCAGTAACCTGAAAAATAAACAATAATTTTTTTTTGAGATTGTGGTCGGAACATTCTGTGCTACTTGCACAGCAACCGGCTACCCTTGTTTATAATTGAATTTTTCAAAACAATTGATGTAATTAAACATATTTTCTCTTTATTTCAGATGATTGATGAAAATTAACTGAATCAATTGATTTTTCTTGGCGTTTTCAAATTGTGTAGCATGATTTTTGCAAATTTTTGAGAAAAATATTTAATTAAATTTTTTGAATGTTCAACACAAACTAAAAGCAAGCACAAATAGTTAATATTCTTTTTCAATAACTATGGGACATTGCAAAGGGAAACAAAAATAGCCGGTTACTGTGCAAGTAGCACAGAATGTTCTGATCATAGTCTTTAAAACACATCCATAAATTTTTTTTTCAAATTCGTGTCATTATTTCTGGGCGGTGTGATAAAGAGACCCGATACAAAATCTAGATATTAGACCTTAGAAAAACAAAAAAAGAGAAACATAGTAAAATAGGCAAATCGGACAACAGTTTGTGAAGAAAAATGACAAAAAATATTGTTTTTGAAGAAAGTTTTTGTGTTTTTGAAGTTATGTTTACAAAAATGGCGTAAAAAATAACCAAATATACTTATTTACACGAAAGAAACTGAAATTGAGCATAAATAAACTATTGAAAACGGCTCAAAATTTACTCGCCCACATTTAGACAAAATATCAATAATTGCAAACCGGTTATTCTCGAGACTGGAAAATTGTTAACCATGTTCGAACCACAATTGAAAGGGCTTTAATATGATATACCACTCATCCCAGTCCGATGAATATTTATGGTACCTGATTTTTCATGGAAAATTCATAGAAAAAGGAAAACAAACTAAAACACATCCGAATGCAAAGTTCCTCGCCATTTTCAATGGTCGGGACAATAACTATCTTTCGTGTCAACCACCAGGGCTTCGACCCCCTGCCGACCCAAAGGTTCCCCCCTTTTTTGAGATATCCATTTTTGGCTGACTGATTCTAAAATTTTTCTAAAGACGCCTTGGGTGCCAAAGTATACTAATTTTGAGGTGGGAGCGCGTGCCGAAAAAACACGATTTTGTGGTCAAAATTTTCAAAAAAGTGCCTGAAAACGACTTTTTTGGCCCTATTTTAGAAAAAATTTGCCTGCTGCGCCGAAAGATTGGTCAAAATAGGGTCTTTATAGTCTTTATAGTGATTTAATTGAGCCCAGAAAATCAAAATGGTCGGCCTAAAAAAAGATCGACAAACTTTTTAAGTTTATTTGAAAATCCGCGCCCACCCCTTCGAGAAAATCCTAGGTCCGCCCTTGATCTCAAGTACATTACATGGCTGAAGTTCTTAATCGAATTAATGTTTTTTTTCGATGAAATCTCAAATTTTTATGGATTCATTACGCCATTATTCTCGCCAAATCTTTCAAAACTTCGTTTTTAAATTATCTACTCTTTCGTTTTTTGTCTTCTAGGACAAAATTACGCCTTTTCAAAATGACGCCTTATTCACTCGAAATTATGCTTTCCTTACTAAAGAGCTTAGAAATTGATCAATCGAGTAGAAAGTAGAGTTGGTGATATAGGTCAGAGTGCTTTAGATAAACGAGCGATATCAAACTAATTTGATTGGAGTCAACTAACAGATCTCAAACCGATAAATTTTCTGACCTGATTTCAACTTTTAAAGGTATTGATAGCTGGCGTCTCAAATTGATTTTAATAATCGGAGTCGTTAGTTTACCATAAGTACGTTGCACTCTATAGTTGCGTCGAAAAAGTTTAGTAAAAATGATTTTATTCTTGGTTTTGCTTTTGTCTATCTTATTAGTTCCTAGATCCCAAACCGTGTCCGTGTTACCACTTTTAGTTCAACAGGTGAGCTAAGTATCAGTGTAATTTTTGATAAAACAAAAGATGTCCAAGCTATGAATTTTTGGAAAGTTACTAAATGAGTACCAAGGGTACAGCAAGCTGCCCTACCCACAATCAATGCATAAATTTAGTAAAATTTTACAAAAATTTTATATCTAGTTAAAATGGCCAAGATCTGCTCAAAATGGCCAAAATTTAAAATAAGTTTTAGTTTTTCTAAATTTTACATTCTGGAAGAAAATAACAATGACTAAAAAATGTCTTCCAAGTTTTAGTTTTTTCTGAATTTTACATTCTGGAAAAAAATAACGATGACTAAAAAATTTCTTCTAAGTTTTAGTTTTTTCTAAATTTTACATTCTGGAAGAAAATAACAATGACTAAAAATGTCTTCTAAGTTTTAGTTTTTTCTAAATTTTACATTCTGGAAGTAAATAACAATGACTAAAAATGTCTTCCAAGTTTTAGTTTTTTTTCTAAAAGTTACACACTGGAAGTAAAAAACAATGACTAAATTAGTCTAAAAACAGCTCTAAAAGTTGACCAGGGCGGAAAAACAGTTTAGGTTGTCTTTTTTTTGTTTGTGTCATAACGCTTCATCAAATTTTCGACCCCTATCTTCCAAAAGGATTTTTTAGCGATGGTTGAATCGAAGTGTTAGTCTTTGACTCTTACTCAACTTAGTTTGAAGCGCGCCAGAATGAAGCACATTTTGTCAAGACCTTTTAAAAAGCGTTCTAGAAATTTTTTTGGCTTTTTGTCCAATAAAAATTTGTCTCGTTCATACTTGCTGAAAATTTTTGAAAACCTGGTCTTTTTAACTCCAGGAGAGCTCTCAAACCCAATGTAGCCGCTCTTGAAAACGAGAAAACCCTAGTTCCCCCCTACCATTTTAGGACCATTTATCCCCAAGGAAAGGGCCATCATACGAGCTGTTAAGGTCATCACTATTGAGAAAACCAATGTTGTGCCCCTGCTTAAGAACTATATACATTTTTTGGTTATTTTTCTGGACTGGGTAATGTTGCCTCACCCTCAAGCAACTAGAACGGATCGTGGTGGGCCTAGTAAGACTTACATCATTCTGATCTTCCTGTAGAGGTACATGTGTTTTTCTAATACCGGCTATTTGAACCTATTTGTTCCGATCAATAAAAATGGGAGGAGCTTTATCTTCGGGCGTGTTTTTTTTTCTTTGTTTGTTTTCCAAGCTAAATCAGGTACCACAAATGATTACCGCGATCAGTCAAGTGATATATAGTTTTAAAACGCTTTCAGCCGGGATTGGAACGATATTAAAACATGAAAAATTTTCAAAAAGTTGTCCCAGTAGTAAGAAAAGAAGAGTTTTAATATAATTTTGAGCAAGTATAAGACTTATTTTCTCAAATATAGTACTTTTTAAGAAATTCATTTTTGGGCAATCGGCCCCAAAATTTTTCTAAAAGCGCCTTTGGCGCCAATATATACTAATTTTGAGGGGGAGCGCACGCCAAAAAAAAAGGAATTTTTTCGTCAAAATTTTCCAAAAAGTGCCCAAAAACGGCTTTTTGACCTGTTTTTTCAAAAATTTGCCTGCGGCGGTGAAATTTTGCCCAAAACAGCGTCTTTTTACTGCTTTACGAGAGCTCGGAAAATTAATTTGGTGGACCAAAAAAAGGAAAAATTTTTTGAAAATTTTTTGAAAATCCGCTCACCCTCGAGAAAATCCTAGATCCGCCCCTGTTTTTGTTGTAGTTTTTCATGAATATGGTCGGAACCACTTTGTACTTGCTTGCACAGCAATCGGCTATCCTCGTTCTTAGTTAACCATAAAGCTTTTGCTTGATCCGCTTCCACGGAAAAAATATTATTTATTTCGTAAATTTACTGTACAAAGTTCATTATGCTTGTCTTTTTCACCACTGAAGAACTTCTTCTTAAGCTTGGGTTTTTTGTTAAGATAAAGAAGGACCACTGTTAGCCAGATAAATCTTTGAATGATTTTAAGAAGTCCAATTATTCGTTCAACGAAGTTTTTCAGCCATCGAAAAGTATTTTTCATAGTAGCAATATTGTTACGGAGAATTATGATGCGGGGCGTTTTCGGAATGCACGTTAAACAACATTAATGGCTATAGCACTTTTTTCAAGGTTTGCAGACACGGCGATAGATCCCCAGTGACATGTTTTCCCAACAACCAAAACAAAGACTTCTGGCTCCAGGGCCCTGGATATTTGACCCCCAAAGGAGAGAAGCAGCTCTACGACAATGGAAAAGCTTTCAGATCCGACTGGTACCCTGGATTGTTGAGTGATGTCGTCCTACCAAGGTCTCTTTTCCTGTCTCAAATTATTTATTTATCAATGACGATTTGATTGGTGAAATCTGTTTGATCATCGCCCTTCAGTTTTACATAATTCAAATACACTCAATTTTTTGGTAAAAATTGTTATTTTTTTTTTATAAATAATAATAATAATCATAATAAATTGTTTGCGTTATCGGTTCCATTCGCTGTAGAGTTTACTACATTTACAACCAAATGAAATCTCATTGCGAGGAGAACGCCGTGGAGTTTTGCAGCCCGTTTTCAGGCGCCTCTTTTTTTAAGCTTTTAATTGGTTTTGTGAACTAAAGAAACCCACCAAATATCAGAGAAATCTTGCTGTGTTAGCAAAAAAAAGTTCAGATTTTGATTAAAATCTGTGCATCTCGGTTTCGATGTTAGCAAAAGTATTTCGTTTCAAAAAACATAAGCATAGATTGTATCTACCGGAGCAAAAGAAAAAACAGTTTCAACTACAATCAAAACAATCTTTAAAGGTTGTTTTGGTTGTAATTGAAACTGTTTTTCTTCCTGTTCGGGCTCTCGGTAAAATTGAAGTTCGTTTTACAGTGAGTCGTATGTGGTGAGTTCTCACTTCGACAGATGTCTCATGAGTGCGAACTCATTCATGGCTGGCCTCTACCCTCCGACCGATGAGTTCCTATTTGAGAAGGGACTCAATTGGCAGGCATATCCGACTCACATGATATCAGCGGATATCGACTACGTATGTTGCACATTTTTCCACATAGTTCGACCGATGCTGAAAAAAATTAATTACGCCCGCTTTTGGAGCATTTGTTTGTATTAACCTAAATATATACCAGCATAGAAAAGATCATGAAAATATTTGCAATGGGGGAGGTGGGTTTGGGATGTTTTTTCTATATTGAAAAAGATTTTTCACACAGCCAGAAAAATACCTTCTGATTTTGCCGCCCTGATTTCTTGGTTTAGTTTTGAGCAAATATCTTAAAGCTTGACTCAGTTTTTTTTGGAGATATGGACGGGTTTTTCATAATGGGTATTTCGAGCTCAGGTTGTCTCTTTTTCTTTTTCCTTTCCACCTGAAAAAATTCACAAGTAATTTTATTGTTCAAATTTTCTGACTGTTATAAAAATTGGCATGCAGACTGATTGAGCCACGACAAACAAATTTGGTCTTCATACTTAAAGTTGCAAAACTCCTCGTTACACCATAAAACTGATGCTTATGCGATGAAAAAGAGGCCACTGGTTTTCTTATAACGCGTGAAATAACGTCGACATAAGTGCATCAATGTGTTTAGTATCTCAGTGGGACTACATGTCCGGCCCAATTGAGGGAACTTGAGCGAATACTGTCTTCGCCTGTCTACAAACAGTTCGAGACAGAAAACCAAGAATTCATCAACACCACGTGCCGGCTGGCTGGCTATCATGATGATCGCGACTGGAATGCATTTGCTCTGCAGGTCATCAATGACAACCTCATTTGTGATGTAAGTTTTGCGTAGGTTTGATAACGATTCGAGAGCAACTAGAAAAACTTCAAACCAAAAAAGCGCGTAGCCAAGCTATGGCTCGTTTTTCTTCTTACATTCTAAAACTTTTGGTCGGCCAAAATTTGAAATTTTGTTGTTATAAATTCCAGAAACTTTTTTTGCTCAATTGTAGAACATATTTGATATCACCCATCAGAAACTGTTATGGATTTCATGAATTAAACAAAAACACGAAGAGGGCTTGATTTCCTTGCTAGTGTTTATCTAGCAAGTTTAACAGGCCCTTTTCGTGTTTTTGTTTAACTTATGAAATCCTTAACAGTTTCTGATGGGTGGTATCAAATATGTTCTACAATTGAGCAAAAATAGTTTCTAGCTTTTATAACAACAAAATTTCAAGTGTCCTGCCCAAATTTTTTAGAATGTAAGAAGAAAACGAACCATAGTTTAGCTATGCGCGTTTTTGGTTTGAATTTTTTTCTAGTTGTTCTCGAATCGGCATCAAATCTACACAAAAGCTCACTAGTACAACGGAATCGAATCCGAATTAGTTCTAGGAATTTTATCAAAATATTTTCATGCGAAATCTTGATTTTTTTCACTTTCTTTACTGGGAAAAACAGTTCGCCCAAACGGTTATAATTTTCTTAATGAGCATAAACTTCTGTTCTGTAAAATTCCTATTTAAATAAGTATAACGTTTACTTTGAACAAACTTTTTTTCAGATCAGGCGAGAGCGATTTATGTGAGCGTCTGTAAATATACTTGTTTAAACGTAATTTTAAAAAATTTGTCTAACAAATATATTTTTTCTCAGAGAAAGTTCAACTTCGAATGCAAAGTTTCCTTGTGGTACGGGAGAAAAGTGCTGGAGCTTTAAAACCAGTTTATATAGTACCACAAAGAGTATATAGGCCACATGTCTGCTCTTTGCGATGTTACTACTTAAGTTAAAATTTTCCGAAAAGATCCTATTAATGTATATTTTAGAGGTCAAAAACCTACAATATAATATTTTTGTCCACCTAAATGACTTTTTCGGTGATTGACTTTTGCTATGTTCTAGGCGGCTCATGAACTTCCCCTACCCGAGTGGGCCACTGAAAGTGTCCTAACTGAGATGAAGAACATAGTCAACATGCAGAACAGTATTCTTTTCTCAGACCCAGCAGGCACATTTCTATTCACGGGAGGCGGTTAGTACAATTATTAAGTCGGGTAACTGATGAATTGATACCGGGTTAACCTTCCGCCACACCGAAAATGCGTATCATATTCATGCGTATCATCATTTTATACATTTTTTTTCACATATGGAAAAAATGTTCATCATACAAACTTTCAAATTTTTCAAAAACTGATGGAAAAAATTTTGAACTAGTTTTTGCGAATACTTAGTTTTGGTCAACACGGGATTTTGTTATTGATTCTTAAACTCTCGAATAAAGCTTGTTATTCAAAAAGAATCTGTATTGGTTTCACCAGGAAAAGAAATTTCGACCATCAGGGTTAACTGTTCACGCTTTTTCCAAACCTAGCAAGATATTTGTAGCGCGTATCGAGTCGGCCAAATATTACCGTCTCAAAGCAAGTTTTTGCTTTGAAAATGCCACTGAGTTGAAATGTAACCATTAAAGTTTGTTTTAGGTCCTCTTTTGGGATTGATGGTGGAAAACATGCAGAAAAAGATGAACGGAACTCTCACCCAGAAATTAATATACTACTCGGCTGTAAGAGCTGTCCATACTTTTAAGTACAAACTATTGTAATAATTCGAACGCTGAAATTTTGAAATAAGATAAGAGGATCATTTTACCCTCTAAGTATTTGATACAGGCTGTTCATTTCTTCGAGGGAAAAACCGATGCTGTGCTCCTGATTTTCTAATCAGTGATATATAGCATATAACCAGGTGACCGAATAAGCAATTTCAGATTTTTAGAAACATATAATATCCTGCACTCAGTAAAAAGAGAAAAAAAATCGGTTATTTTATTATAATAATCGTACTTTTAGCAAAATATAATAAATTATAAGCGCCGAATTTTGATGATTAAACGATTTATACTCCATTATAATGATAACAACTTTGGTGACATTTTAATAAATTATAATCAATAGTCAATCAAAACCAAACAAAAACGAAACGAATTGAAGCAAAACCAGCTACCACAAATAATCATTGGACATGGTTGAAAGATACTTCATTTTAAAGCACTTTCAGTCGTGATTCCAATAAAATTAAATTTTCAAAGTTTTTTGCCAGTGTTGCGAAAAACCGTTATGAAGTTTTTAGTTTTTCATCCTAATTCGATCGAATAAAGCAAGCGATCAAGCTTACAACAGCTTTGTTAGGAAAAATTTAAAATTTAAGATCTAGAAATTGAATTGTAAGCAAGTAAAGTTAACTTTTTGAGTTCTGTAGCTCCATTCTGGGAACCAAAAATTCGACAGTTTTCTGCCAAAAATCTGAAAATTTTTTTGTGAAATCTTTTGATTGTTTTCTATTTAGGTTTTCTAGTCAATTTTCTAAAAAAAATGTTTTTTAGTTTTTTTGCCTGTACTACTATGAATGTCAAATTAACTTAAATATTGTTTTACATCAGTGTTTTTTATCACCCCACGCAGAAAAACTAATTTAAAAAAAAGCTTTGCGTTGTAGTTTTAAAGCGTTTTAAAGCGTTTTAAAGACCATGGTAGTAACATTCTGTGCCACTTGCAAAGTAATCGGCTATCCTTGTTCAGAAATCAAACTCGTTTGATAAGCATTTTTCCATAGTTTCCAACTTTTTTTAAAATTTTTGCTATTTGTTTGTTTAGTTTGTCCGAAAACACAAAACCATTGCTTTTGTAACACAAAAAAAACTCATTGATTGAAAGGAATAGATCTCACTCAGATAAGTAATAATTGTATGATAAATATTTTATAGTTCACTCAAAATTATAAAAAAAACCTTAATTTTTGAATATGGCTAGAAAGTTTATATTCAATAACTTTACTTGTCAAAAATTAAAAATATCAGATTTGGATTTGCAAAAAAGCTTTTTTGGCAAATTTAATTGTTTTATTTTGAAAAATCCAGCTTCAACTACGTTATAGACAAAATACCAAATTTTGCCTACAATTTTTTTCCATTTAAATTTTGTGAAGCGAAAAATTTTACGACTAAAAACTGAGAAATATAAATAAAGAAAATTGTCTTTGCATTAATTTAAAAACTGCTTGTCATCTGGCTAAAAAACCAAAGAAATAATTTAAATTAGAGTTACATCGGATTTCGTTTTTGAAAAAAAAATTAACTTCGCTCTTGTTTTTTTAGAAAAGTGCAACCATACGGAAATTTCATTGGAAGGAAATTTTTTTGGTTGTCAATATGTTTCAACTTTAAATTTCTAGGACTCTATGTATCTCCTTGATACAGAACGAAGTCATACTCTTGGAGCAACAACTGCTGAAAATTGATCGTGTTCATTTGATTTTTAAACGTTAAATATATCAAAATTTTGAAAAAACATCAGGTATAAAGCTAAATCTTGCCCAATCTGCTCAAAAATCTGAAAAAAAAATTTGAATCAAAAAATTGCTCAAAAGGAAACACTAGCGTTACAAATAACATAAGTGACAGATTCCACTATTCCTTTAAAAACTAAAGCGCTAGTTGGAGACCAAGTGGCACCAAAATTTAATTGATATAAACAAACTGAATGCATGTTATAACCTTTTTTTAACAGAAATGAGGGTTACTGGTTATAGTGAATTAAGAATGATGAAGTTTTTATTGCAACAAATGAAGCTCTCTTATTCAATTTTTCAAAAGAATTTTTAAATAGCATGGATAGCCAAAGTGCAGACCAAATTGACTTAGTTGTTCAAGTTTTCTTTTTTGTTAAAAACAACTGTGAAAGTAAACCCTGAAATTTTGCAATAATACAAGCATAACTCGAGCTAATTTGTTTCATTTTTTCAAAGTTTTGTCAAATTTGTCGTGAAAATTTGCTTTCTCAATTTTTCAATCCTACGTACTGGGAGTTTTGGCGATAAATTGCATCGATACTGAAACCTAACTGGACTAGTTGAATATAGTTTACCGAATCAGGGAAAAACAAGTTTTCAGTGTGCTCTTGAGTAATTTTTTTAAAGACTTTTGATTTCTTGAGAAAAAACTCAAATTAAATTTTCTCGTTTTCAAAAGTTTTATTTTTAAGAGAGGCCTGCAAAACTAATATTTTTGACAGTTCGAGCGAAAAAATTTAATCATTTTTTTAAAGACTTTTCATTTCTTGAGAAAAAACTCAAATTAAATTTTCTCGTTTTCAAAAGTTTTATTTTTAAGAGAGGCCTGCAAAACTAATATTTTTGACAGTTCGAGCGAAAAAATTTAATCAATCAGAAAATACATCCAAAACTACCTTTTTTGTTCCGACTTTCGATACGAAAGTAACGGAATATTTGTGCTCGGGGTGGGTTTTTCTTTTCTTTCGACAAATTTCGACTTTTTAACTAGCCATTTTTGACGAAATTTTTTTATATCATTCGAAAAGTAGTGTTGTCCTGAGCTCAAATTGGAAAAGATATTTCACCTGTGATCATTTTTCGTAAAGTTATGGGGGTTTAAAGATTGCCATTTCGGTCAATTTGGGACAATTAACGCGCGATATATTTCGCGCTATTAACGCGTAAGCGGAGAGTTAATCCGTCTTAGAAATCGTTCCAAATTGGTTAAAAGAAGCTTTTTTGCCATAATTGGTTTGTTACAAGGAGCAAAATCTATCCTTTTGTACTTTATATGGCATTTGGGATGATGATTTTTATAAAAAAATTTTAAATTTTAGAATTTTTTTTTTCATTTTGTTTTATTTCATTGAATTTTTTAATGTTATTACTGCTCCTTAAACCTTAAAGGGCAGTCGGAACATTCAGGGCTTCGCCCTGATACGAGCAATCTTGTTGTTCCGACTTTCGATACGAAAGTAACGGAATATTTGTGCTCGGGATGGGTTTTTTTTTCTTCAGACAAATTTCGACTTTTTAACTGGCCATTTTTGGCCATCATTCAAAAGTATTGTTGTCTTGAGCTTAAATTTGAAACGATTTTTCACCTTTGATCGTTTTTCGTAAAGTTATGAGGGTTTAAAGATTGCCATTTTGGCCATTTTGAACAATTTGGGACAATTAACGCGCGATATAATTCGCGCCATTAACGCGTAAGCGGAGATTTAATCCGTCTTAGAAATCGTTCCAAATTGGTTGAACGAAGCTTATTTGCCATAATTGATTTGGTACAAGGAACGAAATCTATCTTTTTGTACTTTATATGGCGTGTGGGGGGATGATTTTCACAAAAAATTTCAAATTTTAGAAAAAAAAATTTATTTTATATCATTTAATTTTTTTTATGTGATCACTACTGCTCAATAAACCTTAAAAGCCAGTCGGAACATTCAGGGCTTCGCCCTGATACGAGCAGTCTTGTTTCTATTTGGAAAAGTTTTGAGTTGGATTGTTGTATGTTATTAGATGTCCATTTTGTTCTTTGGTTTACTTTCCACATATTTGTATTTCAAAATTGAATTAAACTTTGAGCATTTGAATAATTAGAGATATGTTTGCATGGTGAACAATCTTTGCATGAAAACAAGCCAATGAAATTACGGATTCTGTAAATTTGTCTGTTTCTGGAGCGATTTTGAGCGGTACCGCGACAAAGATGATTTTGGCCTGTTGCGGAATCCGCTTAAAGTTCACAAAATGAACAGTTTGACCACGTAATGTAGAAAAAATTAAAGTTCAATATCACAATCTGTGACTCAGAATCCTAACAAAATTTCTCATCGAATTTTCTCTGGTTCATCGGTAAATTTTTGTTGAAATTTTAGCATGACTCCACAATACTGTCATTTCTTGGAAATCTGGAACAAGAGGTGGGCCCTAACCCGCCCTATGGATCATGTGGAGTACTGGAGTTGTATGAAGACAATAACAATAAGTGAGTATAAGCAATTGGAAAACTTTTGTAAAAACTGCTTATGAGTCTTAGGTCCCAACCAAAAAATTTGTAGACGGGGTTATGTAATAGCTACCGCGCTTTCTTTAACCAATCACTTTTTCGTTAATTCAGTCCTAAATTAATTACAATGGTTTTGCATCTCATTTTAGATAACTTTTGTAGTTTTTTTTTGCAGATGAACCCTATCTTTTATAAAAAAGTTTGCTGTCTGGGCTCATATTTTCTTCATATGAATCTTCTCGGAAATTTTGCTCGAAACATTTTTTGATCCACCTAAAACGGCCCATGGATTATTGACCTATAATGCATGTCGACAAAACTATCGAAGATTTTTTTGACGCCCTACATCCGTCTCTGACTGAAACAAAACCAAACTAAAATATTTGTGTTATTCAGATACTTCGTTCAGCTTTCGTTTCGCAACAGCACACTTGGAATGATGAACGAGGCACGAATGATGCCGAATTGCGATGACGTCATGTGCGATTATGCAACATTCTCCGACATGGTGGCAGACAAAGTCAACATGGACCCAAAGGCAGCTTGTAATAGTTTTTAGAAACTGTATTTTTATAACAGAATTTTCATAACTGAATTTTCATAACAAAAATTGAATTGTATAATAGTTTAAATTCCTTTCTGGTGCAGCTAAAAATGCACATCTTTGAGTGTCTTATACATAGATTACGGGATCTGCTTATTTATATATGATTTGTTTTGGGAGACCAAATGTGTCGTTATGGACTTAAATTTGAAATTGCGAAGCCCTGAATGTTCAGAGTGCAACTCTGCAACTTCTAAAAAAAATTTGAGATTCCTTTTTGGCTTTTTTTTACTTCCCCCCCCCCCTCACATTTCAAATTTTCAGTTTTCCTAGTTGTTGTTTTTTTTCTCTAAACATTATGGTTTAATGTGTGATTATGCAACGTAAAGTATGAATAAGAAAACGTCCACAGTAGTTGACTTGTTGACCATGCCAATTTTCATTGCTTTTTGACAACGTTAAAATAGTTTTTCAAACTTGAAATTCGAATGTGGAGGAGAATGTAAAAGAGCCACTTTTTGGAAAATCATAGTTTGCTATATGCGAAACATATTCTTTTATACATTAGATAGCGTGCGGGGGACGCCATCTAATGTATAAAATAATATGTTTCGCATATAACAAACTATTAAATAGACCGAGTACTTTGCCCGATTCAACGTGAAACAATTTTTTGGACGGATTAAACCTCCGCTTACTCGTAAAAAGCACGCTAACAGTCAATTACTTTTAAAAAGCAAACTATCGCTCGTTAATCCAGTCAGAAAATCATTTGTTAAAAGTCCAAATTTGTCAGAAAAATGAAAACCACCCGATTACAAATATTCCTTCATTTTCTTCAAAAAATCAAACAAGAAATGCATGATTAAATTTTGATCAAATTGCACTAAATTGAGAGTCTTACTAAACACTGTATACAACAGTTTGTCTAAATATTTTGCGTTTGATTTTCGATAATGGTTTTTTAAGACACAAAAACTGGTCTTTATTGAGTTCAAAAGCCCATAGTTGGCATTGCACCACCAATTTTTGTTTTTACCTCGTTTTCACAGCGACCATAATATACTAAGAAGAAACAAAATTTTACTATGAGTTCATAAAATTTAACAAAAAAGAGCCGTATTTGAACTCAACTAAATTGTTCAAGTTTGAGAATAAATGCTCAGCAAAATTTCTCTGACGTTTTTGACTTCCTTGCTTTTGGTATTAAGGAGTTTTTTAGAAAGTGTATCATGGGATTAAACTTAAAATCAAGATATATTTATCTTCCATTCACTTGATTGACAATATTTTACTCCCCAATGTTCATTTTCACTAGTTTGTGATTTTTTATCTTTTCAAACTTGCTCAAAACATTTGAATAGTACCAACAACAAGCTCACCCATCAAACTAAAACCAGAATTTAATTTAATGACAACTAACTGTCTAAGTACTTTTTGGCTACCACTGTCATTATTCGAAATGCCATGATTCTTTTTTTTGAAACATTTTCGTTTTCTTTAGTGAGCGAGAACTGTGTACAAAAAGAGCTCGAATGTTTCCTTAACAAATTACTTTTCAATTTTTGAAAGAAAATTAATGCATTGGGATTCTTGAATAGCATAAATTAATTTGTTGTTTTTTCTAGGATTTGCATTTTTCGTGATCAATTCGTGATGCATTTCGTACAAGAAGCGTGCAAGCTTCTTGCAAGATTTGCATTCCCTTAACCGCTTAGAAAATTCCTTGATATTTTATATTCTATAAATTTCGCGCAATAATCTGAAATTGCGAACTTTCAGTATTTTTATACCAAATTTCTTTTTTATTGTTCCGACTTTCGATACGAAAGTACCGGAGTTTTTGTGCTCGGGTGGTTTTTTTTCTTCAGACAAATTTCGACTTTTTAACTAGCCAATTTTGACGGAATATTTTTATATCATTCGAAAGCTATTGTTGTTCTGAGCTTTTGAAAAGATATTTTACCTGTGATCATTTTTCGTAAAGTTATGGGGGTTTAAAGATTGTCATTTTGGCCAAATTGGGACAATTAAAAGCGCGATGTATTTCGCGCTATTAACGCGTAAGCGGAGATTTAATCCATCATAGAAGTCGTTCCAAATTGGTTGAAAGAAGCTTATTTACCATAATTGATTTGTTACAAGGAGCGAAATCTATTCTTTTGTACTTTATATGGCGTGTGGGGGATGATTTTCATGAAAAAAGTTTAAGAATTTTTTTTTTTTCGTTTTTTGTATATTACATTTAATTTTCTTATGTTAATACTGCTCCATAATTCCTAAAAGGCAGTCGGAACATTCAGGGCTTCGCCCTGATACGAGTAGTCTTGTTATGAATAGTTAGCGATGAAAAAACCTCCGATAACTTACAAAAATCAAGATTGCAAAACATAATTGTTATCTATATATTTTTAAACAAGTTCAAAAATGATGTAAAGAGCTTTAGGAACAATGATCTTGCATTCATTCGAGCAAAATTTTATTCGTTTTTCAGTCGCTTACCGGGTAACCAGCAATCTCTGCTGTGGAATCTCGACTCTTTTTGTGTATTTAATAACGCCTTGAGAAACTGTGAAAAAATCTAATGTCTTGCAACGTTTTTGCGCAAACTTATCATTTCAAGAATTCTGGGATGAGTTTGAAGCTCCAATACATTACATCAAAATTATAGCAGGAATTTCATTAGTCCACTTTTTAATCATTAGCTGCTAATTTCACCTCTCTTTGTACCTGCCAAAAGCGGTCAAGCTCTCGAATGCCAAGTTTCAATGTTTGTTTTCTGTTTTGAAAAATCGACCTGATCGAATAATTCAAAGTTACTTTAACCATATTTTAATTTATTAAAAAAAACAGATTCACTTAGAACTGTTTCGACTTAAATTTTTTACCACAGGTCTGTAGTCGCCTTTTTGAGATCATATCAAGGGATTTTTCTTGGCGCAAAGAATCAAGCATGCGAAAGTTTGAAGCTTAAAATTCTCTGGACACCGACGTTTTCACAAACTCACCAGCTGGTATTATTCTAGAAGTCTTAATATGAAGAATAACCATGGCGCAGTCGGGTTGCTCCAAATTAAGCGAATTCGATTTCAGAATTGGATTTTTTTTGAACCACTTGACGAATGAAATGACGGAAATGTTGTACTGCACAATATTACTTATTGTTTCTGTGGGCATCCACGAATTCATAAACCTACCAGCTCGTAATCTCCTATATTACCCAGTTTAAGAACCACTAACAGAAAATGAGGATGCGACACAACGGAGCGTTCGAGAAGCTAGATATGCAGCATTGCTCAACATTTATAGGGAAGAGACAAATAGAACGACAAAAAAGTTCCCACAAAATCCAAAACTAAATATAGAAAGATAAGAAGGTTTAATTACACTTATTGGAACCTGATCTAAACTACATTTTATGATTGGATAAATTAGATATTTTACCAATGTAAAGTATTTTATATTAACCAATCATGATCCATCTAACTAACAATCCACTTATTTGTAAGTGCTGAAATTACTTGTAATTTCAGCACCAGAGAGATTTGAATTTAACTTAGAAATTAGTTGAACTCTCCCGAGTACTTCAGCAGCCGCAATAAACCAGTATACCCTAGATCTATTGAGCCTAGCAGAGACTAGTTAAACAACCTGAGACTAGATAGTATAAGATTAAGATTAGGATCGGTATTAGACTAAGAAGTTGCACGAATCTATCCGGCCGAAAATAAGATAGCGTGACGAGCAGACGGTGTACCCTATCCGAAATTACTCTATGAGTTATACCCATCGGTCATAACTCATCTGGTGCGACCATAAGTCTCGAACAAGACCTTAATAGCTTAGCATTAACCAATAATAGATTAGAATTTAGACAAAACATTTACAAAATGTTATACGACAAAAATTTAATCGAAATGTCTCTACGACTCAATAGATCAGAGCCAATATTCCGAACGATAACAGAACTACCCGGAATTGGAAGAAGACCTCGAACCAGAGACGACATACGACAAAGCAGAAACTTACCATATAGTTATATGATAGTTCGGCAAAAGCCAGAACAAACTTTTGTATTTAGAATACTACTAGCAATGAATTTAGATTTTCATTTGCAAACATAAAATTTTGAAGTCAATCTTCAAAATCATTTCAGGCGCTAAACAAAATTATTAATATACAATAACGATTGATAAAAAGATCTCAGATCGTTTTCCTAAATTCTGCAGTAATATACAAAACATGTTTGAAAAATATTTATTGAAAAATCAAAATAAAAATTAGTAGCATGACAATAAATGGTTAGTAATTATAAATCATCCTGTTGTTCCAGCTTCATCGCCTAAACATAACAGCAATCATAAGCTCACCAATATCATAAAAATACTAAATCTATTCTTTACACAAATTTAAAACATTTTAAACTTAAATTCACTTAATTTTAAAATCAGATCATCAAGGCTTATCCTTGGATCTTAAATCATTTTCTATTTAATTAAATTTAAAACTTGATCATCAAGGCCTATCCTTGGATCAAAAAAACAACTTTGTTCTCCCCCACCCACTTAACTAGTGTCTAACGACCTCAAACGTCGATTCACTATCCAACCCTTTCTAAAAACCCAGGACTAATAGAAATTTTTGAACAAAACTAATCATTCAAATTAGGATAAACAGTGAAGAACTTCGGTTATTCATCCTTCACTTGATCCCCCCTCTTACCAGACCCAGGATAAATCTTAAACTTAGTAAGTTTAAAATAGTATCTAACGAACTACTCGCGTTCTAATTATACCTGAACCTTGTGGATCGATTTACTATTCTCCAACCCTGAACACAATCACTACCCTTAAGTAAGATTAAGTAAGTTAACACCTTAGCTTATACTATCCACGAGAAAGTATAAAATCATTCTTCGGAATCGATATACTTTTCTCTCCAACCCTGAACAAATAGACCCAGGTTAAGCTAACAAAAAAATCGTAAGGACTAACAGTTTAAGCAAATAGAAATCATTTAACAACCTTTTGCATCCGTCATCCTAAACCTTATGTCATTTAAAAACCTAGGAAATAAACAAACAATCGTTTTACACAATTGTGAAATAGATAACAAAAAATACGATCTTGTAATCACACCACACACACAAACAGTTGGATATATCAGAACAAAACGACAAACATTAAAGAG